CTTAGAAGGATGTTATTTAATCGCTTCGCTCATTCCGCCGGCCCGTATTGTGCCCTCGCTGGCGTTTGGGCTTTTGGGGGCCTTTTGGGGTCCTCGTTGGGGGTTTCTTGGGGGCCTCTTGGGTTTCTGTTGGAGCCTCTTTGGGGTTTCTTGGAGTTCCTTTGGGAGCATTTGGGAGCATCTTGGGGCTTCTTGGAGCCGCTTGGGAGCCGCTTGGGAGCTTCTTGGGGGCCTCGTGAGGGCCTTTTGGGGGCCTCCTGGGGCTTCGAAGGGGCCTCTTGGCGCCTCCTGGGGGCTTCTTAGGGCCGAGGGCTCGAAATGTTGTTTCGTGTTCCCCCTCTGGGGCTTCTCTTAGAGCGTTCTTGGGGCCCTCTTGGGCCGCCTTGGAGGCCTCTTGGGCCGTCTGGGTTGGTTCTTCTTAGGGTGGGGTCCAGTCTCCCCGGTTCTTTCGGGTGTGGGGGGGTGAGGGAGGGGGGCTGGGGGAGGGGGAGGGGATTCCTGGGTTTTCCCCCTCCCCCCCCCCGTCCCCCCTCCTCCCCGGAAGATTGTTCTCGGGGGGGTGGGGGTGGGGGCGGTTTCTAACCCGCCCACCCGAACAGAAATTTCTCAGGCCATCGGCGGTGGACTGCGCTCCGCCGAAAGTCTGGATTCTTGTCGGACCTCCACCAGCAGTCCGGAAGCCATGCCCAGGCGAGTTGCTCCAATCAGGGACGTGTAGGAGCACCCAATGGAACAAAGAGGGTGGACAGTCGTGCCACCGAAGCTCGGGATCAGCTGGCGGAGACCCATGCGTCAACCTTTTAAATGCCTTTTTGTCGGGCCTTTCGACATGGGAGCCTCTTGGCAGCTTATTTGGACCATCTTGGGGTCCTCCTCCGGGGCTCTTTTAAGGACCTCTTGGGGGCCGTCTTGGGGCCAGCTTGGAGGCCATCACGTTCAAAGAAGGGTGGCGCGGATCAGTGCCCCCACTCTCTTGGGCTCGGAAATTCGCCTCTCAGGGCCCTGTTGGGGCGCTCTTGGGCGCTCTTGGGGCCGTCTTGGAGTCCTCCTGGGTCCCTCCTGGCGCTCTCTTAGGAAACCTTGGAGCCATCTGGATGCTCCAGGGGCCAATCGGAAGCGAAATGGCGAGAAGACCAAAACCATTCGGTGTTTTAAGGTTTGGGAGGACTGTGGCCTCTTGGTGGCAGCCTTCATGGACTCCGTGGAGGCGTCTTGTGCGGTCCTGGGGCATCTTTGAGGCATGTTGGAGGACATCTTGAACATCATGAGCCATCCTGGACCCTTTTGCACCATCCTGGAGGCCATCGTGAGCTATTTGGAGCCATCCTGGAGCCATATTGACCCACGCGACTCCCAATACAGATGCTCACGGTATCCGTAGCAATTTTGGCTCAAGTCATCAGCGGCACTCACGCCTTTTGCAACGCCATCGCATACACAGTCTTGCCTCGCGGCAGCGGGCGCCCTTTCCCCCTCAGAGAACGCACGTGCGCATGGCCTTCGTGCAGATGGCCATCGTGCGCCTTGGCCTCCTGGTCGTGCAGGCCGGCGTGGTGGAGGGCCTACTCGTCGACGCGGTTCGCGCGCCCTTCTCATCGAGCGACGTCGATGTTCTGAACATCAGACAACAAATTCCAGACTGTCAGTTCAGAGGGGCGTTCACCAGTGGCAATTACGCGTACCTCACGCCTTACTTCTCAGGCGACGCTGGGTGGGGCGGCGTGCTCGTGCGGTTGGACCTCTCGGATTTCTCGACGGTGGCATCGCTGGACCTGAGGACAATCGACAACGATCTGCAGTATTTTGAAGGAAGATTTGCTCATGGCGACTACGGGTACCTGGTTCCAACATCAACCTCAGGGTGGACAATATCAAACGACGTCAGAATGGGCAAAGTCGTCAGATTCAGCTTGTCAGATTTCAGCCTCAGCACCGTGCAAGTCCTCGACCTTGCGCAGACCGACGCCACTCTGAACGGGTTAAGCGGTGGGTTTACCGATGGCGCGTGGGGTTACATGGTGCTGTGGTACCCTGCCACCGCTGGCCGGATCCCCATCTATTCTGGCAAAGTGGCTCGGTTCAGCCTGGCAGATTTCAGCACGGTGCAGGTGCTCGACTTAGAGGCGATCGACCCGAGTCTTGAGGGTTTCTACAAGGGGTTCTTCGCTGGCGGTTGGGGGTATTTACTGAAATCCATAACCAATAACGCGGGTGATGGGAAAATGGTTCGATTCAGCGTGGCAGATTTTACTACAGTGGAAGTGCTCCCTAACGAACACCGACGCTGGCCTTGCCGGCTTCTTCGGCGCATTCACCGACGGTACGTGGGGGTACGCTGTGCCGTACCATTCGGGGAGTGGCGGGAGTGGCCACTTTGGTAAGGTCCCGCGGTTCAGGCTGGACGACTTCAGTACGGTGCAAGTGTTGAATCTAGCAGATCAGAATCCGGGCCTGACAGGATTTTACAACGGTTTCACGGACGGTACGTTCGGGTATGTGATGGGCTACGACAACGGCGCCTACCACAGAACGAAGGTGAGGTTCAACTTGGCCGATTTCTCCACCATCGAGGTGCGCGACTTTGCTTCAGAGGTGGGCAATAAGGATCACATGACAGCGGGCGGCTTCGTGCACGGCGACGACAGCTACGTGGTCACGGCAGGCGGCAAGGTCATCCGCTTCGACGCCCAGCCTGCCGCCCAGGCGACTCCGCCTCCGAGCCCGAGCCCGACGCCCGCCCTCGCGCCGCCCGGCGCGGGCGCGGGGGGCTCCGGGGCCTCCGCCGTCGGCGACCCGCATCTGCAGAACGTTCACGGCGAGCGGTTCGACCTGATGAAGGAGGGCAAGCATGTTCTGATAAACATCCCTCGTGGAAAGAGCCCTGACAGCGCCTTGCTCCGCGTGAAGGCCGATGCGCGCCGGTTGGGTGGGCAGTGCGCGGATCTGTACTTCCAAGAGCTGAACGTTACGGGGTCTTGGGCAGAGGCAAAGCAGGCTGGAGGGTATCACTACAGCGTGTCGCATCACGACGCCGAGGCTCCGGGGTGGATTGCCTATGGCGAGGCTGAGCTAAAAGTCATTCGTGGACGTACGCACAACGGCCTCCGTTACTTGAACGTGCACGCGAAGCATTTGGGTCGAGCGGGGTTTGCTGTCGGGGGGCTGCTGGGGAAGATGATTATGAGGACGTAATCGGTTCCCCAGGCTCATTCGCCAAGCATCTGGCTCTGGTGGGCGACGAGAAAGCGGGCAGCGAAGACCCCTCGGTTGTCTCAGTCGCGGTAGCAACCCTCGCGTAGCTGCGCTGCGGCCTGGACGGCACCGAGGGCATCTCCCCGACCAGCTTCACGAATGGTTTTCGCCAAGCATGAGGCTCGCTCTTCCTCCTTCGCCACTTGCGTCTCCGCCCGAAGGGCGCCGGTGGGTCGCAGGCGCGGGGTTGGCCTGGGAGTGGCGTCGGGCTGCCGTGAGTCGGCACTCCCTGCGGGCGCTCCACTCCGCGGGCTTGCCAGGAGCTCCGCGGGACCTCAGAGAGGGCCCCACGTTGCATCGCCGCCGCCCTCATTTACTCCACACGCGTAGGCACTCAGAGCCGCGAGCGCCGCTTATGGAGCGGCGAAGCCAATTGGGGCGGTCGCAGGCCGGATTCTGCGAGTCCGTGGCCGCGCCCCCTGAGGCGCTACCAGTTCGGTGACCGCGCCTGGAGCCAGCGCCGGTGGGCACTCTCCTGTCCTCCCCTCCTCCCCTCGTGCCTGGCCCTCGGCCCGTGGACGGAGCCGAAGGCACTCGCGCCGCCGGGCCAGCGCCACTTCTGCTGCTGTTTCGGTTCAGGATTTCCGCTTCTGAAAAAAAAAACAGATGCTCACGGTATGCCACAATCTTTGAACGAATTTATTTTCTGAGTGATTTTGGCGTTGAGCAAAGGGGGGTGGGGTACGAAATTCGCCCTGCCCCTCTGGAACCCCAGAAGCCGCCTCTTGGGGCCCTCTTGGGGCGCTCTTTGGGCGCTCTTGGGCGCTCTTGGGGCCGTCTTGGAGCCCTCTGAGGCCACTCGTGGGGCTCATGTGGGCCTTCTTGGAGTCATACTAGTGCCTCATTGAGCGGATCGTGGCCTCCTGGGGGCAGCCCTGAAAGGCCCCGTGGCCACATGGTGCCGTCTTGGAGTGGTCTTGGAGCCTCTTGGAGGCATGTTGGAAGCTCTCTTAAGCCTCATTGGGTAGTCTTGTGCCATCCTCCACCTTGGGCCCTTGGGCCGTCCTGGAGCCATCTTAGGTCATCTTGGGCGCGCGCCAGACCACTTCAGACCTGCAGGGCTGGTGGGATTTCAAGCTGTTGGGTCGTGAGCGGGGAGGCGCTCTCGAGCGAAACGCCCGGCCCGCCCTACCGACACGTCTGGTGGCCAGACGTGGAGGAGTTATCTAGAAGGACAGGAGGTGGAGGAGGAGGAGGAGGAGGAGGAGGAGGAGGAGGAGGAGGAGGAGGAGCGGGAGGAGGAGGAGGAGGACGAGGGCGAGGACGAGGACGAGGACAAGGAGGAGGGATCAGGAGGGAGGAGATGGCGGTGGAGAAAGAAGCGGAACTCACCCACATTCCGACTCACCTGTACCTAGTCTGTTCATATTCAGTTTTGTCCGCTCACGCTCAGTCTGTTATCTCGGGAAGCGCCATGTAATGTGGGGGATCTTTGCGTCGCGCAATTCAGAATCATGGGGCTTATAAAACGGGCTGCATCAAAAAGTGTGCAGGCTTGGGGTTGCGCACAGACAGCCCTCAGAGGTCGGCCAGGGGTAGCCTGGGGCGGTCTCAGCACAACCCCTGGGCCGAGGCGCCGCCAGTGGCGGCGCTGGGGTGTTGTTCACCCCAGGCCACCTCGGGTGCTTGTTGAGGCGAGTCGGGGCATCTTTGCATGACTCTCTGTGAGCCCCCACGCTGTCCTGGTCGGAAGACGGATGTCTGGAGACGCAGGAGGCCCAATAGGTCTTTTTTTCTGGCCGTCCGAGGTGTTCGCCCCGGAGGACCTCGTCGGCTCGAGCTCGAAGCGGGTGGGCTCGCTTCCGCCGATCCACGGGGCCTCTGGCAAGTCGGGCGACGTTTCATGGAAGGCGCCCGGGACGGATTGGGGGGGCAGGAGCATTATGAGGAAGATGATGATGATAACGATGACGACGATGACGATGATGCTGCTGCTGATGATTATGTTGGTGAGGAGGGTGATGATGACGACGGTGAGGATGATGAGGATGAAGGTGAACAGGATGGAGTCAGGAGGAGGAGCAGAAGGAGGAGGAGGAGAAGGAGGCTGAGGGCGGGGGGGCGAGGGATGACGATCGTGGTCATGATCATGATGATGATGACGACGATTGTGATTCTGATGACGATGGCGATGACGACGATAATGATTATGATGATGATGATGATGATGATGATGACGATTCTGATGATGATGATGACGATGCTGATTGTTATGCTTATGCTGATGATGATGATGATGATCATGATGATGTTGGTGCTGATGCTGATGATGATACTGTTGTTGTTGTGGTGGTTGTTGTATTTGTTGAGGTTGTTGGTGTTGTCTTTGTTGTTGTTGCTGTTTCTGTCGTCGTTGTGGTTGTTGTTGTTGTTGCCGTTGTCGTTGTCGTTGTCGTTGCTGTTGTTGTTATTGCTGTTGTTGTCGTTGTTGTTGCTATTGTTGTTGTTTTTGTTGCTGTTGTTGTTTTTGTTGCTGTTGATGTAATTGTTGTTGTTGTTGTTGTTGTTGTTGTGGTTGTTGTTGTTGTTGTTGTTGTTGTTTTTGTTGTTGTTGTTGTTGTTGTTATTGTTGTTAAGATTGTTATGTTGGTTCTGCTGCTGTTGCAGTTGTAGTTGTTGTGGTTGTCGTTGTTGATAAGGTTGTTGTCGTCGTCGCCGTCGTCGTTGTTGTTGCTGCTGTTGCTGCTGTTGCTGCTGCTGCTGCCGCTGCAGTTGTTGTCGTTGTTGAATTCTCAGATCTACACAACAGTTATTGTTGGTCCCCCCCTGCCCGGTAGCCATCGCATTTTTCAATTATCCCGGTGCGACCCTACCTAGGAGTTGGAGCCCCTAGGAAAGCAGCATTAGTAGTAACAGTAAAGCTAAGCTAAGCTAAAGCTAAGCTAAAGCTAAGCTAAAGCAAAGCTAAAGCTAAGCTAAAGCTAAGCTAAAGCTAAACTAAAGCTAAGCTAAAGCTAAGCTAAAGCTAAGCAACAGTTAAGCTACAGCTAAGCTAAAGCTAAGCTAACTATAAGCTAAAACTAAGCTAACTCTAAGCTAAAGCTAAGCTAAAGCTGAGCTAAAGCTAAGCTAAAGCTAATCTGAAGCTAAGCTGAAGCTAAGCTAAAGCTAAGCTAAATCTAAGCTAAAGCTAAACTAACGCTAAGCTAAAGCTAAGCTAAATCTAAGCTACAGCTAAGCTAAAGCTAAGCTAAAGCTAAGCCACAGCTAAGCTAAAGTTAAGCTAAATCTAAGCTAAAGCTAAGCTAAAGGTAATGTACAGCTAAGCTAGAGCTAAGCTAAATCTAAGCCAAAGCTAAGCTAAATCTAAGCTAAAGCAAAGCTAAAGCTAAGCTAAAGCTAAGCTAAATCTAAGCTAAAGCTAAGCTACAGCTAAGCTAAAGCTAAGCTAAAGCTAAAGCTAAAGCTAAAGCTAAAGCTAAAGCTAAAGCTAAAGCTAAAGCTCCCAGGGGACTGGGGGAACCGCGGGGCGGATCCTGGGGGAACCGCCCGGAGCGGGGAGCACTGACCGGCCCTTTAAGCATGCAGGGTAAGAACCCTTCTAGGCAGAGCCTAGGTAGGGAATTAAAGTGTTTCTCTCGGGGCTCGCACGCTTTTTTAACAAGGGAAAAGAGGTGTCACCAAACTTTGCCTCTGGTCCCCGGTTTACAACAGCAGCGGTTCCCGCCTGCTCCTTCCTCACAATTTATTCCCAAATTGCGCTCTCGCGCGGGATTTCCTCACAAGTTATACAGGAATCGTGCTCTCGACTCGTGTGGGACTTTCTTGCAATGTATTCGGACGCCGCGCCCTCGACACTCAGGAATCACGTTCTCGCTGTGGATTTCCTTACGACTTATTTGGGACATCGCGCCCTCCCGATTCATGCAGGACGCACGCTTCAGCAACCCGACTGCTCGACCTGGCCGGCTTGGCCAGCCTTCCCGACCCACCTATTAGGGTCTATTCACCCGCCCGATTTGTCCGTCTGGTTCCGCCATGTGTTTTCTGCTCCTAGCCCCCCTCCTGCTACTCTCTCTCGTGCTCCATCCTCCTCCCTCCCCCCTTGTCCCTTCCTTACATCCGTCCTTTCTTCCACTGCCTTAGGGGCTGCGCAAAATACACGTTGCAGGTAAGAACGATATATCCCTAAGGGGGTACGATCTGAGACGAAGAGGGTGGGTATCGAGGGCTTGTAATATACGTGTTGAGTGGCACGCGAGCGGATAAGAGCGAACAGTCTTACAATGATTTCTGTTGCTGCTGCTGCTGCTGTTGTTGCTGTTGTTGCTGGTGATGACGCTGACGATGACGATGCTGATGCTGCTGATGGTGATGCTGATGATGCTGATGCTGATGATTATGCTGATGCTGATTATGATGATGATGATGCTGATGACGATGAGGATGATGATGATGATGATGATGATGATGATGATGGTGGTGGTGGTGGTGGTGATGACGAGGAGGACGAGGAAGAGGCAGCGAGAGGAGGAGGATGAGGAGGAGGAGGAGGGGCAGGAGGATGATGAGGAGGAGGCGAAGGACAAGGATGAGGAGGGAGGGGCAGCAGCAGCTGCTGGGAGAGGGAACATCAGCAGGAGAGAGGAGGAGAAGAGAGAGGGAGGCAAAGGAGGAGCTGGATAAGTAAGGATGATGATGATGATGATGATGATGATGATGATGATGATGATGATGATGATGATGATGATGATGATGATGATGATGATGATGATGATGAGGAGGAGGAGGAGGAGGAGGAGGAGGAGGAGGAGAAGCAGGAGGAGGAGAAGCAGGAGGGACAGGTGGAGGGATGATAACGGTGGAGGAAGCAGAGGCCAATCGGACGATGAGTATGGTGAGGAAGAGGAGGATGAGGAGCAGGATGGGGATACTGAGGACGTGGATGACGAGGATGAATTGGCTACGGTGGAGGTAATGCAACTATGCAGGGGGAAAGAGGAGTAGGTGGAGGAGGGGAGGAACATGTATGGACCCCCTCTTCGTGATACAAGCTTAACAACGTGGGGGGTGAAGATATGATGAGTGGAGTGATGATGAGCGATGAGGGAAACGATCGATCGAGGGACATTGCCATACGTAGGATGGATAAAGGATGGGTAGATGGGATGAGGGGGTGATGATGACGAGGTGGATGATCGTGGGGCCAACGACGACGTTGATGGGGAGGATGGCGACGACGATGCTGATGTTGATGTTGATGTTGATGTTGATGATGCCAATTATTATAGTCATGATTTTGCTGATGATGATGACGGTGACGATGACGATGCCGATGACGATGATGATGCTGATGATGATGATGCTGCTGATGCTGATGCTGATGCTAATGATGATTATGCAAATGCTGCTGCTTATGATGATGCCGGTGATGCTGCTGATGCTGATGATGATGATGCTGCTGATGATGATGGTGGTGGTTGTGGTGGTAGTGGTTTTGGAGTGCGACCCCAGCCAGCTAGTACGGGCCCGAGGACGGACAAGGCAAGGCGACTACAGAGATGATGACCCACCGAACGTCATCACCCAGAAGAGGAGGGACTTGATGAAGCACGCCTCCGTGAAGCACGCCGCCTGTGGCATGCCTTTGTCAAGCACGCCTCTGGGAAGCACGTCACGATGAAACACGCCACGATGAAACACGCTTGATGACGCATCCCTGTGATGAAGCATTCTTCGGTGAAGCACTCCCGCGCGTCTGGGGGCGTATTGGCTCAAGCCGGGGGGGCGTATTGGCTCAAGTCGGGGGGGCGTATTGGCTCAAGCCGCCCGCCTGCGCCCTGCAGTAGCCTCGAGCCTGGCATGGCATCATGGCGCGCCGCCGCAGGGGAGGAGGTCATCGGCGTGCTGGAGACACCGGCGGTGCAGAGAGTCGTGCTCTCTCCACGGCGGCCCAGCGATTCGGGAGGGCCGAGGCGCGAGCCGCTGCGGCCTCCCGCGGCTCGGGAGGCGACTCCGGGGACTCAGGCGAACGTCGCGGTTCTGGAGTTGCAGCTGGCGGAGGCGAGGGCACGAGTGAGGCTCCACGCGAAGCGACTCTCCAGCAGCATGCTGACGGCAATGGAGGCAGAGGCCTCGCGACTCCATGCCCAATTGCTGACGGCACAGATCGAACAGACGAAGCGGGAGATTTGTGCGCAACGTTTCCAGGCGCCCTCCCCGGCACCCAGTCAGCCTTCGAGTACGGCTCTGGGTCAGCTGCCCGATCCGACGCCTTGCCCAGCGACGGTCACCGACAGGGCCTCCGCCTCGGCTGCCGTCCCGGCTCTCCACCCAGAGCCCAGCCCGGCCCCGCGGGTGACAGTGTACGCGGACGACGTGGTACGCTGGTGCCCGGCGCCGAAGTTGGCCCGAAGCGGCGCAGAGAGACCCCCGACGCCACTGGAGGCGGATCTGTACTTCGAGCCGGACTTCGTGCCGAACTGGGACCCCCCGGACGAGGAGCTGGCCTCACAGCCAGACGCCCTGGACGAAGAGATGGGCTCGCCGCCGCTGGCATAGGCAACCCCAGAAGCTCCGACCTCGCCGTGGATGATGTTGGTGATGATGATGCTCATGAGCAGACACGGCAGGAACACGCTCCTTTCGGGGGCGATTTGCTGCAAGCTTGGTATCATGACGCCCTGGTTTCCATCGGCCTCCTGGAAAGGTACCTCGCCGCCCCGGGCGGATCCCTGGAAGTCTTCCCCCTTCGCCTGCGGCTCGGCGCCCCGCTCGGCGCGGAGGCCGCCCAGGCGTCGGCCGGGACGCCCGGCTGCGGCGAACCTGGCGCCCCCGCAGACGCCCAGCCTGGCTCCCTGCCTGGAGCCCAGCCCGACGCCCTGCCCAGCTGCCAGCCAGGCGCCCCATAGCCGACGCTCGGCCCAGCGCCCTGCCCAGCGGCCAGCCCAGCGCCCTGCCCCGCTGCACGACCGCCGCCCCGACCGACGCGCGGCCCGACGCCCTGCCTGGCTGCCGGCCCGGAGTCCAGCCCGGCTGCGAGCCCGACGCCCTGCCCAACTACCAGCAGCCAGGCGCCCCGGCCGACGCCCAGCCCAGCGCCCTGCCAGGCTGGGAGCACGGCGCCCCCGGCGACGCCCAGCCCGACGCCCTGCCCGGCTGCCAGCCCGGCGCCCCGGCTGACGCTCGGCCCAGAGCCCTGCCCGGCTACCAGCCCGGCGCCCTGCACGGCTGCTCGCCGGGCGCCCCAGCCGACGCCCAGCCCAGCACCCTGCCCTGCGGCGTGGCTGGCGCCCTGCTTGGTTGGCTGTCTGCCCAGCGACGCCCAGCCCGGCTGCAAGCCCGGCGCCCTGCCCTGCTATCAGCCTGGCGCCCCAGCCGACGCCCAGCTCGGCGCCCTGCCCGGCTGCGAGCACGGCGCCCCCGCTGACGCTCAGCCTGGCGCCCTGCCCGGCGCGCAGCCCGGCGCCCTGCCCGGCTGCCAACCCAGCGCCTGCAGCGACGCCCAGCCCGACGCCCTGCCCGGCTGCCAGCCCGGCGCCCCGGCCGACCGGCCCAGCGCCCTACCTGGCTGCCAGCCCGGCGCCCTGCGCGGCGGCACGCCGGGCGCCCCAGCCGACGCCCAGCCCAGCACCCTGCCCTGCAGCGAGGCTGGCGCCCTGCCGGGCCTGCCTGCCTGCTCAGCGACGCCCTGCCCGGCGACCAGCAGCCTGGCGCCCCAGCCGACGCCCAGCTCGGCGCCCTGCCCGGCTGCGAGCCCGGCGCCCCCGCTGACGCCCAGCCTGGCGCCCTGCCCGGCGCGCAGCCCGGCGCCCTGCCTGGCTGCCAACCCAGCGCCCCCGGCAACGCCCAGCCACGCGCCCTGCTCGGCTGCCAGCTCAGCGCCCCGGCCGACGCTCGGCCCAACGCCCTGCCCGGCTACCAGCCCGGCGCCCTGCGCGGCTGCACGCCGGGCGCCCCGGCCGACGCCCAGCCCGGCACCCTGCCCTGCGGCGAGGCTGGCGCCCTGCTTGGCTGCCTGCCCAGCGACGCCCTGCCCGGCTGCAAGCCCGACGCCCTGCCCAGCTACCAGCAGCCCGGCGCCCCAGCCGACGTCGGCGCCCTGCCCGGCTGCGAGCCCGGCGCCCCCGCTGACGCCCAGCCTGGCGCCCTGCCCGGCGCGCAGCCCGGCGCCCTGCCCGGCTGCAAACCCAGCGCCTCTGGCGACGCCCAGCCCGACGCCTTTCCCAGCTGCCAGCCCGGCGCCCCGGCCGACCGGCCCATCGCCCTACCCGGCTACCAGCCCGGCGCCTTGCACGGCTGCACGCCGGGCGCCCCAGCCGACGCCCAGCCCGGCACCCTGCCCTGCAGCGAGGCTGGCGCCCTGCCCGGCAGCCTGCCCAGCGACGCTGCCTGGCGCACTGCCCGGCTGCGAGCCCAGCGCCCCCGCGGACGCCCAGCCCGGCGCCCTGCCCGGCTGCGCGGCCGGCGCCCAGCCCAGCGCTCTGCCCGGCTGGGAGGCCGGCGCCCCGCCCGGCTGCCAGCCCGGCGCCTCGCCAGCGCCCTGCCCGTCGTCCGGCACGGCGCCGGGCCCCGAGCGCAGGCCGTCGTGAGCTACACCTCTGCGTCGTCTGGCCCGTCGGGCCCCTCGCGATCACAGCAGCAGTGCAGCGCGGAATACCTAGCCGTGTTGGCGAAGATCAGGGCATGGAACGAGAACGGGGTGGAGGCCCGCACCATTCTGGAACGACTAGACCACAGCGCGGAGCGCCTGCAGCGCAGGGGCACGGACCGACGGGATCGCTTGCTGCTGCGACGAGGGGTGGCGCACGCAGCGGCTGCGCAGGCAATGCGTACCCGCAGCGGCATCTCTGAATTCACGGGTTCGTCTGCTTGACGCGCCTCGGCATGATGTTTTTTGGCGACCGCCCCGAGCTCCGCTGTTCGCGCCTCCCGTGTGCTCATGCCCCGTCGCCGAGGCGGCGGCGCCGTCCATGCGCAGGGTGCTGTCAGTTATCGGGGCACTTCGGCGTCACCTACACAATCTAAATGTGTCCTCCCGAGGACTTCTGGCACTCACCATGCTCTTCCCTGGTCAGGCATTCGTTCGGAGGTCCTTTCTGCGCGGCTCATCTCGTCAGTCTCGGCTGCCCCTACATCGGCGCGTTCACGTTCGGAGGTCCTTCCACGAGGCTCAGTTCGTCATTGCCGGCCGCTCCGTGGGCATCTGTGGTCGGAGGTCCTTCCTGCAAGGCTCTGCTCGCCATTGCCCGCCGCTCCGTCATGGGCGTGTTCCGCGTTTGGGGGTCCTTTCATCAAGGCTCTGCTCGTCGTCATCGCCGCTGCTACCCTCGGTGCATCTTCTGAGGTACATCTTCTGAGGTGCGCCGCTGCTCCCCGCATGGTCCAGTAGTAGATTTCTCGCCGCCGGCCGTCTTAGGCGCTCGCCGTCTTCCGATAGCTTTTCGCCGGCGCCCCGTGGAAGCCCCCTGGGGCCACCCTGGGGCCCCCCCCCCCTCAAAAAAAAAAAACTCCCGCGCGACGCACCACTCCGCGATGAAGCCGCCCACAGCGGTGAAGCATTCCACGATGTAGCACTCCACGATGAAGCACTTCATGAAGCACTCTTTGATGACACACTCCACGCCGAATCACTCTTAGTGAAGAGCACAATCCTTGGTGAACCACTTTTTGGTGAAGCACTTCTTGGTGAGGCACTCCAGGAAGCGCGCCTCCGCGAAGCACGCCGCTGGGAAGCGCGCTGCCATGAGGCACGCCGAGATCAAGCGCGCCTCCGTGAAGAGCGCCTCCGATGAAGCACGCCGCAGCGAAGTGCCCCCGAAAAAGCCCTCCACGACGTACCACTCCACGATAAGCACGCCACGACGAGAAAGCCCTCGATGAAGCCCTCCCCGATGAAGCCCGCCACGATGAAGTGCGCGCGCGCTCGGTGAAACGCGCCGCTAGGAGGCGCGCCCCCGTGAAGCGCGCTTCCGTGAAGCACGACGCGATGAAGCGCGCCACTTTCAAGCGCGCCTTTGCGAGGAAGCACGCCTAAATGAAGCCCTGCAGAACGCCCTCCTCGACGAAGTGCGCCTCTATGATGAAGCGCGCCACCCCGATGCAGACCGCGATGAAGCCTTCCACGGTGAAGCTCTCGAGGAAGCCCTCCATGACGTACCGCTCCACGATGAAGCACGCAACTCCTTGCGGAAACACGCCTCCGTGAAGCGCCGTGCGATTGAGCAGGCCACGATGTAGCGCGCCCCGAAAATGCTCACAACAGCGAAGCACCCCCGCGAAACACTCCACGGGGGAGCACGCCGCGATGAGGTACTCAACGATGAAACACTTCACAATTAAGCACTTAACGAAGCACTCCCCGATGAAGTGCTCCTTGATGAAAAGCCCCACAATGGTGTGCAAACCAAAGAACCACAACAATCTGATGCATAGCGCTGCTACACCAGGAAATCACGAGCTAGATCACACAACGCTGCTGGTATTAAGGCACCAGTTGCATAGGCCGAGCCCAGTGAGTGTCTGGCGCCGACGCCGCCAGCGCTCGAGGGACACTTGGAGTATTGCCAGCAGAGGTGTTTCTCCATCCAATAGCGTGACGCTCGATGAGTGCGCATCTCGTGAAAGGACGAGACATGTATAGACAAAGGCAGTAGCGGGAACCCCACCTCCGCCATTGCAGCAACGCCGGTACTGAAGGTTGATAGCGAGGGCTATCGTGGGCGTATAGTAGGCATACAGGAGATGAAGACCCAGTGCGTCGTTGGGCTTTGACGGGGGCCGCGACTGCTCGGTGCAGCCGCAACCTTTGTCCGATGGTCCCACACACTCTATTGCGTCTGCGCCTCGCCGCGCTGGTGCGACGGCCACTGGTGATTGGAGAGCGACTTCAGCCAGGCAGTACGGGCCCGAGGACGGACGATGCAAGGTGGCTGCAAAGGTGATGATGGTGGTGATGATGATGATGGTGATAGTGATGGTGATGGTGTTGATGAGGATGAGGATGACGGTGGTGATGATGATTAGGGTGATGAGGATGATGGTCTGAATCTTGTGATGACGGCAGTGTTGATGACGATGACGATGACGATGACGATGATGATGATGATGATGAAGGTTCTATAATGACGATGAAGATGATGATGATGATGATGATGATTATGATGATGATGATGATGATGACAGTGCTGCTGATGATGATGATTATGATAATGCTGTTGCTGATGGTGAGGATGGTGATGGTGGTGGTGGTGGTGGGAATGGTCAGGCGGAAAAGGAAGGCGGGGATGTTGCTGAGTAGGTGGAAACTGCCTTTGCCGATGTAACTATGGGGAATAATATGGTTCCATGAGGCGAAAGGGCGACTGTGCAAGTTTTGAAGAAGAACACGCGCGGTGCAGAAGTGAGAGGTCAGTTTTGAACAGGGCCCACTCTCCATCCGTGTAAGAGATGCACATTTTAGCACTCGGGTTGATATTGTTAAGTCTCAGGCGAGAGCCGCATCTTGACAACGAGCCAGCTTCCATCCTTTGGCGACGTGTCGAGCTTTTTGGACGAATGTGCGTGGTGCCATGTCGAGAGCCCACTTTCTGATTGGACCAGGCCTCCATATTGATACCTACTGCAAGCTTTTCCGACCAATCTGTGCACCGCTACGGCGAAAACCGCATTTTGAGCACTTTTCTCCTTCATCTTTTTAATTGTTGGGCGCACTGTGAACGAATCTCGAGCTTCGGGGTCATAAGCAGGAAGGAGGTCTCAGACGGAACGCCTGGCCCGCCCTACCGATACGTCTGGTGGTCAGACGAGGATGCGTTATCCATCGGGACGAGGATGCGTTATCCATCGGGAGAACGGGTGCATGTAGAGGGCGAGAGGGGGGAAGGAGAAGGAGGAAACAGAGGAGGACGAGGAGGTGAAGAGGAGGAACAGGGCGATTAGGGCAAGGAGGAGGATGACCAGTGTAAACCAAAAACCATCATTGAGGGACGTGCCCCATTAGAAGACAACCGCCTGAAAATCCGAAACCGTGCCAGAACACCAATCTTGGGATTTCACCGCGATCAATGTTACTGTTGCGTCATGGCGATCCCGAATCGTGCCAAACGCCGTTCCTGGGACTCCAGCGCCGCGAATAAACGTTACTGTGGCGCCCTGACAGTTTCACATCGTACCAGCACACCCCTTCTTGTACGCCGTCCATACGGATCTCTGAACTGGTTGTAAATTCTTCAAACGAATGTTCGCGGTGCGCAGGCGAGAGACACATTTAGAACATCACCGCCGTCCGTCCGTGAAGCTCTTGCGATTGTTTAAGACAAGTGTGCGCGGCGCTGAGGCGAGAACCGCAATCTGAGAACGGTTCGCTCTCAAGCCGTGACGCTCTTGCAAATCTTTAAGACGAATGCTTGCGGTGCTACAGCGGGGAGCACATTTTGAAAATGGCCCGCCCTCCACCCGTGAAACTGTTACACCTTTTCAGAGTCATGATCATAGATGGTGAGGAAGGCTCAGGCGAAACAATCATGAACCGGGCCAGAATAGTATTCTCGGGACTTCAACGCCACGAATCAACTTGATTGTTGCGTCGTGGCGATCCCGAACCGTGCCATAAAACCATTCCTGGGACTCCAACATTGCGAATCAACGTAACTGTTGCTCCCTGACAATCCTGAGCCGTTCCGAAAAGACATTCCTGGTACGTAAACCGTGGGAATCCGTGAAACTCTTGCACATGCTCAAGACGAGTGTGCGCGGCGTTGAGACGCGAGCAGCACTTTGAAAACAAGCCCGCCAACACGCAAGTGTCAGAGCTTTTGAAACAAATGTGCGCGGCGCTACGGCGAGAACCACATTCCGAAAATGACGTTGCAAATTTCGAAGGCGAATGTGTGCGGCGCTAAGGCGAGAACCACATTTTGAAAACGGCCCGTTTTCCATCCGTGAAGCTCCTCCAATTTTCGAAGACGAATGTGCGCGGCGCTGAGGCGAAAACCACATTTTGAAAACGACCCGCCGTCAATCCGTGAAACTCTTGCAAATGCTTGGGGGTAGTGTTCGCGGCGCTGATGTGGATAACCACAGTTCGAAAAGGACCCGCCCTCAATCAGCAATCTCGCCCAAATTTCAGAGACGACTGTGCGCGGCACTAAGGCGAGAACAACATTTTGAAAAAGCCCCGCCTTCCAATGTTTAAGACGAATGTGAGCGGTGCGAAGGCGAGAGCCACATTTTTGGAAGTGACCCGCCCTCTTTCTGTGAAACTGTTGCCAAATGTCAAGCTTCAGGATCATAAGTGGTGCGGGCATCTCACGAGAAACGCCCGGCCGGCCCTACCGACACTCCTCGGGGCGCGACAGGGAGGCACTATGTATAACGACAAGAATGCAGGAGAAAGAGGATGATGATGATGATGATGATGATGATGATGATGATGATGATGATGATGATGATGATGATGATGATGATGATGATGATGATGATGATTATGATACTGATGCTGGTGATGATGGCGATGGTGATCAGGAGGAGGATGAGGAGGAGGAGGACGAGGATGAGGAGGAGGAGGATGAGGAGGAATATTAAACATAAGAAGGGTACTACTAATATTGAGTAGTACTAATGTTAAATCGGGCATGTCCTCTGCAGGAGGAATATTCAAGCTTAGTCAAAATAGTGCAAACATTAGAGATATATTTCCATCCAACATGCACCTGTAGGGGGACACGCCTGACGTAATACTAATAGTAATAATAGGGGTACTTATACTAAAAAGAAGCACATTATTAACAATAACACCAGCACGAATAACAATCATACTAAGACCGTTACAACACATAACACTAATTAGGGAAAGTAAGCAAAGCATAAGGATGTCAAACTAGTCTTAATACTACTTGGGAATATTCATACCACGGAGAATAGGAATAATACTATGGGTGATATTCCTGTACTTAGTAAGTTGAATCACAAGAGTGTCGATAATACTTGTACTGGGACTATGTATGCTAGTTTTAGTACTCATACTAATAATACTACTACTGCTGATACCATTGACTGTAATAGTAGCACTACCAGCTTTAATCATAGAAATAACAATCGTATTACTATCAATACCAATGTGGCTATTACTATTCTATTCGTACGAGTGCTACTACTGAAATAAGTATCGCTGCTCATCTTAGTAGCCTGAGTAGTAGTAGTAGTAGTAGTAGTAGTAGTAGTAGTAGTAGTAGTAGTAGTAGTAGTATTAGTAGTATTAGTAGTAGTAGTAGTAGTAGTAGTAGTAGTAGTAGTAGTCGTAGGAATTTTCAT